TGAGTTAACCAAAGCGCATCTGAAAAGTATATTGGTATCTGCTGTAGCAGTTAATTCTAAGTGCTGATGAAAAGAACCCGTATGATGTCTGGAGTTAGAGTCTCCATGTGTGATTTATAGTCCCAGCTGCATTTATAAACTTAATTGCTGGATGGCAACTTCATAGAGTGAAAAATTATACCTTCGTTTTTCTTGCAGTGTTGCTTTTTTTATGCTTATGTTAGATCTGCATTTTTCTGGAAGATGCAGATACTGTCAAACTTAGATCTTTGGTTTACAGCAGTGAGAGGCTTGTATGTGACTAAATATTTTGACTTGTGTGGTGATGGATTAAGTGGTCAGCTCCACGTTTCTGCCCGAGGCTTTTGCCTCTTTGAGCAGAAGTGACTGGGTGGCATGTATTGTCACTCAGGGGTAGTCACTGCTTTCAGTCTGGCATGCTAACTTAAACTGGCTGCCTGGGATGGATGTGACCTATTGTTGCTGGAGGTGCTGCTTACCATTTCAGGAAAAGGTAGTGACTGGCAGCAGAAAGACTAAATCCATCTTTAGCATGAAGTTACAGTGAGCACCATACAACCATAAAGCAAAGTTCAGATCCTTGAATGTGCAATACAGCAACAGCTTCACAAAACTGCAGGGGGAAGCAGATGACTAATCACAGATGGCTTACAAACAGAATTGATATTTGAAGCTCAGAAGTGTGTTCTTTATCTGTTCAAATTGCTTGCTTTTGTGCACCCTTCGAATCCTGGTGATTTTAAATGACTGCTCCTGGGTGACCTTACAGAAGGGTATGTGAGAGGCAGATGTGCTCTGTCACACTGTATAAATAGGCTTGCAGCGAAGGAAGTATATTTGCTGCTCTTCACAAAACTGGAGCCAAGAACAGTTCCCTTGCAAAGTTAAATGAATTGATCAAATAAAATGCATAGGAACAGCCAAAGGAAACGTGGTTGGAAGCATTACAAAAGGAAGGTATTCAGCCTCCAGCTCTCACCAGCTATATTTAGGGATTCCACTTCCAACACTTACATTATATTATATTAGTTCCTTCCAAAATAAACAGCAAAAAATGTGTAGGTTGCTGCCTTCTCTAGTACTAGAATAAAACTTTAATGATTTTATTTTTAACTGCAAGCTTCTTGGCAGAGTAGCTGAGGTCCAAGGACCCAAGGACTGTATCTGATGGTTTTTCTTTTGAATTGTTGTACTTCATTGTCAGAAGGCCAAGCTGTCTTGTCTTGTTACTTCACATCAGGCCTTCATTCTCAGCACCTCTTACTTGCCAGGCAAGCGTTAAGATCTTAATTTCTTCACGATGTGGACAATTCTAATTCAGTATCCAAATCTGGAAACTTTTCTAATCAGATCCTTTAAGAATAATATTTCTAATTAATTGTAGTTATTTCCTCCTTTGTTTGTTTGTTTGTTTTGGTTTTTTTTCCTCTGTATATATAAAAAAACTGATGCTTGCTGCTTGGAATTTGTGATCATCTTATCTTAATTTTGCAAGAAAACAAATGGCAAAATTTCATCTATTTTGACTAGCAGGAGATCATAACAGAATGTATGTTGGGAAGTTGTGACTTTACCCTATGCTCTTATGTGAGCAGCCTTAGGGTGCGTGGTGGCTCAGGATATTTCCTCTCTAGGCAAAGCATTCCAGGAGTTTGGGCTGACCTATTTCCTTTGCTGAGGAGGGGTAGCCTGCCCTGTAGCAACCTCAGTCTTGCTCTGAAAACTGAGTGGGTGGGGACACTGAAATGACATAGTGCAAAATTTGTCCCAAGGACAAGTCACTTGCAATTTTTGATCTCTGGTCTGATGTGATCACCATAAACTGATGACCAGTCCATTGAAGCTGGAAATGCAGCATGCTGAGTGAAGAGGTTTTGTCTTCTAATAGTGCTTTTTTTTTAATCCCAAGTTTGTACAGAAGATTCTAACAGCATCACTTGGAGCAGTGCATGCTGCAGCAGGCCTTTCAGACTAAATTGATGTTAATCCAGAAGAGTTGTCTTTCTGCTGCTTTGGTTTTAGGACTTTCTATTGCAGAAATGCATATATGTGCAGGAACAACTTGTGTTTATTTCACAAATAGAGAATGACCCTCAGAGATTAGTGCATTTAGAATGGGATGTACTGACATGTATGCATTAGCATTTTGTGAGAAAGCCAGAGGAATTTACTTTTAGGGGATGATAATCTGCTACCGTGCATCACCAATGGGTCACACTTGAATGAAAATATAGCACGATGCACAAGGTACCCCTGATTCTTGCTTTTCTGAAAAGTGCAATTAAGTGACAGCCTGAAACCTGTGAATATGAGGATATGAAAACATTGGTGAAGCTGTAATTCTGTTTTTGAACCAGAATTGCATTGCTTTTATAGCTGCTTTCCAGGGAGCTGAGTAAGCTACAGAGCCATATAAGGTGTTCTTACCAATGCTTTTGAAACATGCTTACACAACACCTTTTCTGGTCAAATAGTCTGAAGTCACTGCAAGTCTCTCACTGACACTCATATGTCTGGAACAGGGGGATGATTATTAGTCTTCCTCATTCCCTCAAGATTGTGAAATGACCAAGAGGACACATCAAAGAATGGGCTTTCAGAGGAAGAGAGCTGTATGAACGATCTCATCCCAGTGTGACAGCCCTTACACTCCTCAATTGCTCAGAACTTGTCTGACCACGTTTCTCCAGCAAACATGGGTTGTACAGACACCTCAGTCCTCTTTGCTGTTGAAACCAGCTCACAGTCCTTACTTAGCAAAGGCTAAGTAAGAAGGAAACCCATAGTTCAAAAATATAGTGATATAAATTTTTTCCTTCTCTTTTTTTTAAAGATTATAAAGCTTATTCTCTTGAAGTTTTCTCACTTCAAATAAATTTTTATATTAGTTTTTAATACTTGACTGGGATAAGCATATACTCTTTTGTAATACTTTTAATAAAATGCTAATGCAAGTAAAGATTTTCATCTGATATTCCTTCTTTTTTAGGGTTTCTGCATCAGGAGTACCACAACCATTTTATGGGGGGAGAATCTTTTGTTACACTGCACACAACTCTATCTTATGCAACAGTGCATCAGTTAATAGCACTTAAAGGCCAGTTCTAAATAGGTCACGAGCAATGAAGTCAACAGGGCTTGTGTTTCAAGCATTTCTTATCTTGGTAAGATTTATTCATGTAGATCTTTTTTCCAGTAAGATCATCTTTTCTAAACCTAAACCAGTTCTTTGCTGAAATATGGCTACTTGTTCTTCTGGACCTTCAGTCCTGCCTTGGTGATTTGATGATACTTCTTGGTTCACTATTGTGCAAATGACATCTATAAGTTGATTTTAAAATGTATTGTTGTGGAGCTATAAATGTGTGGGCAGCAGTGATGAGTGCTTCCAAGGTCAGGGTGCAACTTTCAAATGTAGCTGTGTGTTCCTTGGGCTGAGTTGTAGAATCCCACGTATACACAAAGAATGCATGCTTTTAATGCTGTTTGTGCCTTAATCTCTCAAATTTGTTCCTACAGTTATATTTAAAAAGGCACTCACTGGCTCGTTTACCTTGGTGCTAATGACACTGCAGAAGGACTTGTATAGGGTTGGCAGAGAACCCTGGAAGAAAGCTGATTTCTAAATAGTGATATGAATCTCATCCGCTTTTTTTTTCTTTTTTCCAATGTGAAGATCAATCAGTATTAGACAATGTTTTTAATAGGAAATAGGAGAAATGTTACTGATGTAATTGTGCACCCATAGGGTCAGGTGAGATTTTGCTGGGTGGTTTTGTGTGTGACCGCTGAGTGGCATTTCCCTGAGAGCACTGTGATCTGTTATTACTGACATGGTAACAGTGGTTGGGTGAATTATCATCCAAAAGCAATAAGGGTGAGAGGAGAAAACCTCTGATTTTGTATTGTTTGTCAGTTACTTGGCATAGCTGTGAGATGGTGCAGTGCTCCACAGAGTACTATATTTAGCTGTTTCCAAGGAGATGTTCTGTGCGATATTGATAATTGCATTAATCCTTGATTTACACAATCTGTGGGAAACTGTTCCTTTTCTAGTGTTGGCTTTTTAATTGCTCAGTGATCTGTAATTTCTGAACGCCTTGATTTGAGTCCCTTGTGCCTGCATGTTAGGGGCAAATCGGGGATCAAATTGTCTTTGTTCTTTTTTTTACTGTAGAAATGATTCATGAATATGAGCATTGCCACTTGTTAGTATTGTCTTTCTTACATGCATTTTGCCTTTACTTCTGTGAGGTATGCCTGCGTGTGGAAGCCTGCCTTTGTTAATACATTTCAGAGATGGCTTGATGACATCCTGTGTTTTCAGTGTCAGAGGCTAAGAGCATTTATGTCAACTCTGCTTGTGCCAAGAGTACTGTTAAGATATTCATGGATGAGAACACAACTCTGCTCAGCGTGTGCAATTTTCACTGTATAACAGAACAATCTTCCTGTCTTGGGGTCTGATGGTTTGTTCACTCTGCATAAGAAATCTTTCAGAGAGGTATTATGCACAGACCCGTTTCTAATTCAGTAAGCTGAAAATGCTTTGCATGTTTCTGAAAGTAACTATGGATTTCTGAGGTGGAATTATTTGAAACAAAACTTTTGAGACTTTACATCTAAAATGCATTCTATATAGTTGAGCTACACCAGTTGAATTGGTAAGGAATTAAGAAGCAAGCAAACAGCTAAGAGGCTAACATATTAGTTTAAACCATATAATTCAGTATGAATGGTCTTGGTGCATAATGTTGTTCGTGAACTGGGGCTTTCTGACTGCCTTGTTGATGTACTGTGGTGTTTTATGGATTATGAAGTCTATCATCTCACAGTGAATGCAAGCAAGGGGTCTTGGTACTAGCTAAAATTCTTCGGATTGTATTTTATTTTTATTTCCATTCATAGTTTATTTGGAAGTACAGCTGACCTACTTGTTCATTTCAGTTAAATACTTTGAGACGTCTCTTCTTTTGTAGAAAAGAAGAAAGGAAAGCACAATGCTGAAGGAGAAAGGAAATGAACAGTTCAAGAAAGGAGGTGCGTTGATTATCTTTGAATATTGCATGGAAATTGGGGAACCTTAAATTAATACTTAGCCATCATAGTGATATTGCAGAAAACTCATAGGAAAATCTTGCATTTATCATTTTACAGCTTTATCATCTTTATCATTTCTTCACCCAGCCCTAGAGAACAGAAAGAGATAGCAGACTTCCTTAAGAGTTAAGTTCAAATCATGAAGACTTGGATAGTTAAAGCAGGATTCTCATGAAAGTTGTGTTTAAATCCAAGAACACAATACAAAACTGACTGCCTTCCGAGTGCCAAGGCTTTTTCTGAGAATCAAAAAAGGCTTCCACCAGTCTTGAGTTTTGCTAATGCAATTGCTTAGAATTGATGAAGGCTCAGCGGCTCAGTAATTCTCTCATTACTTTGTATGTTTGTATGTGTCTTTTTATCCACTGGCACAGTCCTTCATGTATGTGCTGTAGTTGTGTAGACATTTATATATATTTATACATACGTTGTGTATACCGACGTGCATCTCTATATATGCATATACGCGCTTATGTTTTTATGTTATGCACAGAGATGCACACTTCTATATAGATGTACACAATTATGCATGCACATAGAGACCTCTACATTAAAAAAGATCTGAATGTTTGTAAATTTCTGACTTACACTGGAACTGGATGTGTTGTGAACATAGTTAAACTGTAGCAGCAGGGTTGAGGTGAGCAGTAAATACCATCACCAGTGATGGTAAAATGTATGAAGAGGAAAATGATTTTTGACACCCACCTTTCATTCTGAAGGTTAGAGGTTTCACAAAGAAACCAGGAAATGGAGATTAATGGTTCTCTCAGTCAGCAGGGACACAAACAGGTAACCTCCATTTCCCAGGGGTAAACTCCTATGATCAGATAGTGGTTTTCCTGTTGGAGGTCTCTTATTGTGTGTTGAGAGATCAAGTTTGCTGGGTAATAGTTTACCAATTCAGGCCAGTGCCAGAGCAGGCAGAAGGGGGCACGAAAGTAGCAAGCCTGTAATACTGGCTCAACTTTCTTTTGAGATCTTATCCATAGCAGTCTCTTGACAAATTCTTTGTTGGATCTGTTTAGTGTGCTTGTGCTGCTGATGGCTGTCAAATTGGTTACTGATCAGAAATAAACTTTTAAGCACCTGGATGATCACTGGTTAACATGGACAGAAATGATTGTTCTGCTTTCAGGAGAATGCATTTGTCAGCTAGCAAGCCGTTGCTCACAGTCAGTATAAGACCTTTCCATTATTTCTTTCTATCATTATTGGAAAGAAATAAAATAATATGCTTGATCACTCGTCCTTGCTTTAGACCAGATTTGATCATGGATGACCATAAGGTGTCAGTGGGTTTATGGTGACGGACTTTTAAGGCAGTCACTGAGGAGTTTGGGGCAGTTATCTCCCAAGCAACTGAGAGCAGGTACTGGTAGAATACCGTGTCCAGCAGGTGTTCCTTTCAGGGCAAGGATACACTTCTGGAAAGATTCAAGCTCTGAGGCTGATGGTACCTTCTTAACAAATAGGACAAAACAGCTTCAGGGGTGAGACCTGCATGCACAGCATGCTGTACTCATTATGCTAAGCAAAAGTCTATTTTTCTGCTTCTATGAGACTGCTGATTTTAAATTAATTGATTGTCATTTATGTGGATGGTAATCAGTCATGTACTTTGTCATAGAGCAGCTACTGCTTCTGACCACTGGTTTAATATTACATCATATATTCAGAAATGTTTCCAAAGAAATCCTGGTCATATGATTCATTGACCATACTGGCATTTGAAATAAATGATCAGTTGCTTTCTTGTTATTTTTTTTTTCCCTATTGCATCTACAGAGTATGGAGAGGCAGAAGACTCTTACACAAAGGCTCTGCAAATTTGTCCAGCCTGCTTCCAAAAAGATAGGGCTGTTTTGTTTTCAAACAGAGCTGCTGCAAAAATGAAACAGGTGAATATCCTTTTTATTTTATGAAATGATGAGTATTGATTGTATGCCACATGAAATTATGAAGTCATTAAGGATTTGTAACAGTGGAAAGGAATTGCTGCATTTGCAGGCTTTGCTGCTCGTGTATTCTCTCAAGCTCCCAGTAGGAATCTTAGTATGTTTGGTTTTACTGAGGGTTAATTCAAAACTGAAAGTTGCAGTTGGAACTGTTCAGAGTTTCTCTTGACGTTATATTTCAAACACTGATTGGTTTTTCTTCTTCTTTAAACAAATTCAAAGTTCATGTGGAACAGATGTCTTGCAGCATGTTTAGCGTATACAGACCATGTGTTAGATTGTTCAGAAGTGTGGCTAGTTAGTGTTTTTTCTAAAAACCTGGGTAGTCTTGTAAAATAATTTGTGGAGATGCTTTAAGGCATAAGCAGGACTTCTAACTAGTAACTCAGTGTGTGTGCTTCCTTCATAGATGCTGTATTATAGCGTAGATCTATATAGCAGGGCAGTGTCTGAAGAAAATGGCTGCAGCTTTCTTCATATCTTTTCTATTCCTTACCCAGGGACAGGTGCCCACTTATTCCCAGAATCCATGTTCACTGTAGGCAGAATAGAAGCCCTAGGACCCACTCTGTCTGAACAGAAACTAAACAATTTACTTTGTAAGCTGATAATTGATTTTAAAGAATAACAGTTAGAGGTTCTTCATGTAAATGAAGATTTCATCTTTATAAACAAGCTGTTGAACTGCCATACAACTGGAAGAATGGGAGAAGAACCATTATGCCAGTTTGAGTTAATACAGTCTGTGGACATGCTACTATTTGACAACAAAGGGAGCTAGAAGGACCTGTCAGCAAGTATTTGGTAACACTTTTCTGGCTCACAGGAGTGTTCAGAGTCTAAATTTAGTTGTCTGAGATATTTGTATGGCTTTTCTATAATGCTTATTATCGTACTTAAAGAAGTATGTCTCTTCAGGCTATAAACATAGTGCTAAATTACCTCTTGTTACTAAATAAGTGAAAGTGAGAATTCATGAGAAATTACTCCCTACTTTTGTTTTAGGATTAAATGGTTCTGGACAAATAGAACAGTAACTCCTATAATCTTTTTGTCCTCTTGCAAAGTTAACTTTCTTGCAGTTCTCTTCTAATATTGAGGCAGATGGAGCTCTGTTTGGGAACGTACTTTGCAGCCATATTTAAGTATAAATATAAATAATATAATAATTGGTCAGACAGAATTATCTAACTTGCTTTTAGGATACTAAATTGTTTGACCAGATAAGTTAAAACAGAATTCAGTAGTAGCAGGTGCTGGAACCTTTCAAATACAAAAGCTGTAAACTGAAAAACATCCTCGTAATCCAGATGTTAACTAGAAAACTAATCCAGTAATTTCCAAATGATCACAAGGTGATAAAAGAACTATCCACAGACTAAAAACCTCACCTGTCCAGATCAGTGGAACCTCCCAGACCAATACTGTACTGTGAAAATAGCACAGAACAGCCTCTTTGTTTTGTTTTGTTTTCTTGAAGCCCTTTTAGTTCAGATGAAAATAGGTTCTTTGTCTCAGTCTTCTTCCTTTTTTTCTTTTTCTCCGTTATAAGCAGATTGCTTGACTCTCTTCCTCTAACTGTGGTTGTCTGGGCACACTAAAATCTTGTCCCTACCACTTCTGGCAGACTCAGGCATTTTCCCTGGTAGAGGAAGTTATCTTAGTACTAAAGGAATATCTGCTTTCCAAATGTCTTAGCTTGTACAGACAAGAATTTATCTGGGAGTCCTGGGAACAATCAGTTCCAACCTCTTACTTAATTGACATACATACAAAAGCTGTAGCTCAGTTAAGCTAAGGCCTGCAGATGTGACTCAGCCTTTTGACTGTAGCTTGCTGCTGGCTGCTCAGTGCAGACTGATTAGTGGGGCAGCCGTGCAATTTGAAGGCTGGCAGCCTTTGCAGAGAGGAAGCTAATCACTTGGTAAAGAGCTTCAAATCAGAAGCAATGGTATGAAAAGCCTTGATTACATGGACATCCCAGTTCCTTGAAATGCCAGACAACCCTTCTTGCTTGCAACTGGAAGTAATCTGTTTCCCAAGAAATACAGTTTAACTATAACAAAAACTGTTCTGTGTTCTAGGACAAGACAGAAGCTGCTCTAAATGACTGCAGCAAAGGTATGACTTTGTCTTTCCCGTGTTTTGCTCTTGTGAAACTTATTATCTGTAATAACTTACTTTATATTCTTTTTGCCAACAAGACTGTTGTTTGTACTTTTTTTTTTTAATAAGAAAGCATTTTTATTGTGGAAGCTGTTACACTTACTTTTATAAACCCACTTCCACCTGCCGTTCCCCTCAAACCTTGGTTCAATCCCAGACTCCAAAGAACTGTGGGGCCTCATACAATTAAAAGCATTATCAGTTCCCTTTTATGCGTGGCTTTTGCTTTGTCACAATGGCTTATGCTTTCCCATTTTTGTCCTGCATGGTTTTATCTCTGCAACTTCTAGTGAAATCGTTTCAGCTGTGTGTTGCTTTATTGCTTCCACCCACTCACCCATGCTCGAATATTTGTTAAACTCCCCATGATAGCTGGGGAAAAATGTCCAAATTACCAATCAGAAAACTAATCCAGTGGCTGAGTGCCAGAACTGCTTGTACAGTAAATAGGAGTTTGTATGTTTTAAAAGTAACCTTGAAGGTAACAAATTCTAGCTGACCTCTCTTACTCTGGGATTCTGCATTTTGGCAGTGGTGCATTTTCAAAAACATTTCTTGTAATTTTGTGGTGGCTTATAGAGAACTGGTATGTTTTGCTGCAGTGAGACTTAAACCAACCATTGCTTGATGCTCCCCAGGGACTTGGCTTACAAGCTGCAATGCAACACCTACAGCACAGCAGAGCAATTCGCTCTAGCCTGCAACTTGCTGACTGTAGTATTGTCTTTGTCCTTCCAGAAGAAATAAGCTATAGAATACTTGCCTAATCTGAGCTTTAGTTATCCTGAAAACAATTTTAATGGGTTAACAATTAAAAAATTAGGCAGGATTTTGTACTTTTCCTATGATGAAAAATGAGTGAATAAATTCTTCAGAAATTAACAGCAGCCTGTGAATTGTAAGTTTAGGATTTAGTCCTAACTGTACCAGTCAACCTGTTAATGTGTGCCAAATGAACAAGAAGAAAAGCTTAAATTCAGTCCATAGGCCTCTGTGCAAATATGTAGATCTTGTATAACCTTTTGTGGATTCACAACCCAGTTTTGACTTTTTGATATTAAAGATGTTCAGGAAAATACTAGTAGTTGTTCTGGAGTTTGTCTCAGCTTTTACTGAGACAAACAAGGAAATGCTTGATTTCCCTGCTATGTGTATCTTTCGGTGTATTTAACCTTAAATATAATCCAATAATATTTATTTATTATGTATTCAAAAGCTGAAAAATATCTTAGGGATTCCTTAAGTTTTGAGGCATCACATCATCTCTGTGCATTAGAAATCATTTCTGTGTCGTGATGATCATAGACATTAGATGAAAAATGGTCATTTCCATTAGACTTTTTACAGACAAGGGTGAAGAGTGCTTTTCTAAATTATGATTTAGCTCTTAAACTGCGACAGCTTCATTCTAAGCTGCAGTATAAAAATAACTAGTAATATCAAAAAATTAATACACACTTAAGAATTCATTGTAAGAGCTGTAGAAATGTTTCAAGTAAAATGCTGTGCTCTATTTTTGTTTTCTAGCAGTGGAATTAGATCCTAACTATATAAGAGCTTTGCTGAGAAGAGCAGAACTACATGAAAAAACAGAAAAACTAGATGAAGCTCTGGAAGATTATAAAGCAATCCTAGAAAAAGATCCATCAGTTCATCAAGCCAGAGAAGCTTGTATGGTAAGCCTTTTTAGTGTACTTTGGCTCAACTTCAAAATGAAGTCTTTCCTTTCCTAGTCTAAATATTCAGTGCTCTCAATGCAAGCTGCTTCATGTGCAGTAGCAGTACCTTTGAGTCTGAAATGCACTGTTCTTCTTATCCAGTTTTTCATAAGGTAGACAACATGAAATGCTACAACTTCCATAACAGGACTCAGGTCCATAAAGCATAGTTATTTTTTTTAATGTTTGTAAAATGAGTGAAGGTAGATGTGTGTTTTGAGCTGCAAGCAGTATTTGTGCCTGCTGGATAGCAGACCCCAAGCCCTACACAGTGCACACACAAAAATCACAGAGTTGTAGGAGTTGGAAGGGATCTAGTGATCACTGAATCCAGTCCTGCTAAAGTAACTTCCCTACAGCAGGTCATGCAGGAATTCATCCAGGTGGGTCTTGAATATCTCCAGAGAAGGAGACTCCACAACCTCTCTGGGCAGCCTGTTCCACTGCTCCATCACTCCGACAGTGAAGAAGTTCTTCCTTGCACAGTTTGTCACTGAATATATTACAGTTCTCACTTTTCTTCTAGTTTGATTACCCCTGAGGGATATCTTGTAACTGAATGCAGTAACGTTTTAAAAATACTCTTCTAAGTAACATCACAATACACTTATAACAAACTTTGAATTCCTGACTGAGGTTGTTAACTGTATTTATACATGTGCTAGGAAAGGTTGGTTAGGCCACAAACAGGACAGCACTGACTGTTGTAGTGAATCACTGCAGCATTTTAGTAGCCAACACTTCAATATGGATCTGCAATTTGGAAATCATAGAATCATTTGAACTGGAAGGAACCACTAAAGGCCATCTGGTCTAATTCTTCTGCAATGAACAGGGACACCCACAGCTCCATCAGGGCTCAGAGCCCCTCCAGCCTGACCTTGAGTGTCTGCAGGGATGGGGCACCCACCACTTCTGGGCAGCCTGTGCAGTGCTTCTCTGCTCTCATTGTAAAAACAAAGAAACAAAAACAAAAAGCAAAACAAAAAACCAAAACCTTAAGAATGAAAGTCAGAATACAAATACTCAATAATAGAGTTTTTGCTAGTTAATAAATTAGTGGGAATCTATTTTTCTTTCCGTATAATTATTCTGGTAATTGATGAGTTTGCAGTTAAATGCTTTCTTGGCATAGAAATAGATACTTTTTTGATTACTTGATTATTTAAGTGAACAGCAGATAGAGGTTTCTATCTGTCAGTAGCTGTTTGAATTATCTGCAGGTCTACATAAATTTAAGTCTACTTAAACGCTGATACTTTTGCTTCTTGATTTTGCTGTGTTCTGGTTTTGGTGTTTGTTTGTTGGGGTTTTTTTGGCTATGCCTTGTGTGTGCATTGGCTATTTTGAGATATTTCACTAATAATGACTTAAGTCTGATATTAATTTTTAAAAACTTAGCCTTTCACATAAAAAAAAAAAAAAGGTATCTTGTAGTTGCAAACAGCACTCTTTTCTAATTAAATTACTTTTCTTGTTCCCAAATAATGTGAGCTGTTCAGCTTAGCACTGTGTTCCCATGTCCACTTTCACTCAACATTATAAATACTTAAGGATTAAAGGTTTATTGAGGAAATTTTGTCATATCACTGGAATAACAATAATAAAAAAATGTAGGTTCTTTAAAGTTTGCTTGGACTTCAGGATGTGGCAGCTTTGTTGAACAAAGGTAAACTCCTAACAACTCATGAAGCCCGATCTGTCACGTAAATAACCTCTACTCAGTGAGGATTTAAAGTCATTGCTACAGCCAGTTCATTTGATGTTTTAAGTAACTCTCAGATACAAGCAAAAAGTGTTTTTTCTAGTGATGTTTAATATGTTAATGCTTAGCATGGAAACTAGCTGTCAGTCAGACAATTTCAAAAGGCCTTTTCACAAGGGTTGGTGTAGCACGAAGGGCTATTTTTGTGCAGAAAGCTCCTCTTATAGGCTGCTTGCCATTCCTATTTCTGAAAGAGGTTATGAAGGCGCTGTTGAAAGGAAAAATGTGGTAGATAGAGAGACAGTCTGTGGCTTTGAAAGAATGCATGCAAATGAAGGGTAGCTGCTATCAAATAGAAAGTGACCACAAGTTATGTCAGAGCAGGAGCTTCATGTCATGGTGTGTGAATGGCTTGTGAGCACCAGAGTGCCTGGAAAGAGCTGACTACATTCCGTTGGGAAAACAACAACTTAATTCCATTTTAGGATAAATGGATGCAGTTTTTAAATATAATGCTTAGTTGGGCACTTGAATCTATATGACATACTTGACTTCTTTTAATAGCTTGTTAAATTTTCTAAGGGCATCAGTGTTCTGTGTTCAGTTTCATATCAGTGAAACTGCAACCTACTCTGCACCATAAAGGAAAAAAGTTTACTCCCAGAAATCTTCTGTAAAAGCCGCTTTCTATACATTGGTGCAGAAATATGTTTTCAAGGTTTGGGTTTAATTATTTTAATTCTCTATTTGTGAAAATAAGGTATTAGTTGTGATTTTTTTTAATTCCCCTCCCCCATACCATAGTGTTGTAATGACACATTAGGAGGTGCTTTAATAGCATATTAGACAAGAAGCCTTGCCTGAAATTACTTCCTCTGGGACTAGATCAATTGCACTGATGGCAGAAAAGTACTCTGCTTAACTGTGTAACTCCCATTAGTGGTAAGGGTAAGATTTCACAAAGCAGCTGAAGTGTTGAACTGCCTGCTGCTTAGAAAGCTGTCCAGTTGCTTTCCTCATGCTTACACTGGTACGAGTCCATGACTGAGCCTGTGGAGATGGCTGGTGATATATATATATGTATATATACATGTGACTGGCAGACAACTAACCTGGCCAGAAGGAAAAACATCTATAAGCAAGAAAAAAAAAAAAAAAAAAAAAGCCAGCAACCAAAAAGCCCTGAAGGAGTAGCTTTATATTGCTTTTGCTTTCTGCACTCAGAGGAGTCCTACTGCAGTTACTGGTGAGAAGGAAAGATGTGGTCAAGGCAGTGCAGGAACTGGGCTGGTCACTTCTGGCAGCACCCAGTGACAAGGTCAGTTTACCGTACTGTGAAACAACCCCCTGATGCTTGTTGCGTGCATCTGAGAGCAGGAGAGCGTTTTATCACCTAGCTCTTGGCAATGGCTTAATAAATGACAGGCTTGTCAAACATCGTTACTGCAGGGGCAGTGAACGTGATGCATCCATCATCGTCGAGAAAAGAGTATTTGTGTTGGCCGTGCTTATAGTCTCCTAGCTGAGACTATGGCTTATTTGATCCAGGAATTCAGCCAAGGAATCTGCTGACGTTTCTAAAGGAAACGATGGGATTTAGTTTCTGTAGCTGTAGTCTTTTAGCATTAGCCTCGATCCAAGAAAGAGGCCTAATGTAATCTAGTTGGTTACTTGGTAAAACAGTGCTAGCGTGTTTTAGCAGCTCTTCATACAAAGAACAGCTATGCAGATCTGGCAGATTGTTACAAAGCACTATTAAGGGCTCCATAGATGAAGATGTGAGAACACTGTCAGTTGTGCTACAAAATATAAGGAGTTTGAAACATACATTTTAGCTGATCTGAATCCCCTAAAAGTTTAGATGCAATCCTTTCTGTCTCTTTCAAAACCACAGTTTTCTTTCAGTATCTGGTGGAGATTTGTTCCAGGAGAGAATCAGAAACAGCACTGCTGTTCTTCCTGGTCATCTTTCAGGAGTGTTTTAGAATGATCAGTCATTTACTTATAATTTTTGCAGCTGGAAAGCACAGAGTTTGACTGTTACGTGTACATTCTGCTCCTTGACCTCATTTTAGTGGGCAGACTTAGGTCACATGTGGTACAGGATACTTTGTATGAAACGCCCTCACTTTGTTCTGCAGTGGGATTTATGGCATTTTGCTTTTCAGTTGGTCCTCTTCTTGGTCAAGTTTCAGGATAAAAGCAATATTTTGAGATTGAGGCTTTAAAGCCCTCCCCCCCCTTTCCCCCCTTGAAAATTTGTTAATGAAATACTGACACTAATTTTATGTTTTTTTTAATAATCATAATAGATCTCTAAATTTTATAATAAAAAATGTAATTCCAGATATAATGCTGTATGTAATTAGCAGATCTCTAATATGTAGGGACTAAGAGATTCTGCTTTATTGTGATGTAAAGTGCCCTGCTCTTTGCAGAACTAGTTCAGCACTTCTGTGCCTCCGCTGGTAGAGAAAATGATGCATCAAGAGAATCTGCAAATTAGCTTTGTTCACTGTTAGAGCCAATCTTTCTCCTTCCTACGTATAAGAAATATTTCACATACTGCTTTAGGGAATATAATAATCTTGTTAAATGGTGGTTTAAAAGAAGTTAAATGCACGGTAATTCTTTGCTTAGGTTCCTGATTTGTTAGCTGCTTTAAAATTTCAGTACAGCTTATGTCAGAAGTACAGCACTCATATTTTAAAGCCCACTGTTGCACACTTTGGTTGCCTTTGACATCATTTATGCCAACTGAAACAGTTTGACATTACAGTGTTTTGTGGTCAAATAATCCCTATTGATGCTTTTCCAGAGAGTGTTTAATTATGTGGTATCAATCATTAGGTTTTGTTTTTAGGAGGTGTATAACAATGTTGTGTGAATTTTAGCTTTAGCACAGTTTCTGAGGGAGTGGCAGAGCAGATAAACTTATTTACCAAAAGAAGCTGTACTTTGAGATAAGTATCACAGAACAAGATGAATAGCCATGTTTATGGATTCCATTCTCTAGATAAGTAACCTTAGATGTACTTTTCTGGAGTGAGAAATGCGAGTCTTTGGAATAGTACTATTCAGACAGACAAAACACAGAACATGTATTTCTGATCAAGTATTTAGGTCTTCATTTCATGCCAAAGGCTAATGTCCACGTGAGAGGCAGATTCTGTGTAAGCCAAAGTCATCCAAAATAGAGCAGATGTGTTGTGGTTTAACCTGGCAGGTAGTTGAGCACCACATGGTCATTCACCCACTCTCCCAGTTCCCAGTGGGATGGGGGAGAGAACAGAAAAAAAACAAAAACAAAGTAGAACTCGTGGGTTGAGATCAAACTATTTACTAAGATAGAAAAAAGGAAGAGAGAATGTCACAGCCACAGTGCAAACTGAATTTACAGCCTGGGGATATCCACACATTTTCATGTAGGCAGCTTGGGTCCAGACCCAAGTTAATAAGCCCCTCTGGGTCAGCAGGAGTTGGATGGTGTCTGACTGCGCTAATTGGATCTGATTCACTGGTGGTGATATTGGGCCTAAGCTCATTTCAGGCTTAGCCACCTCTGTGTGCATGCGTTGTACTCTCTCATATTGATTTTTCAGTTTTTATGGGGTATAACACCTCTCTTCCCCATCAGTGTTGAAAGCGCCTTTGTTCACCAGTCAATACTGTTTTGAACAGGAGGAATAGTCAGGCGGATAGTTTTGTTTCCTTGACATGAATATCTTATTTCACTGGAACAGTGTTATCAGAGTGACAAACCCATGCATGATGACTGGAGCTATAAAATACAGGAAGGAACTAAATTAGGAAATTGAATTCTTTAACTATGTTCAGAAGCCAATTATCACAAGGGAAGTACATAAGGAGTGAATTCCACACCTGTTACCGTAGTTTACAACTGTAATTAACTTACTGATAGCACCATTTCAGCAGATCTGTCTTATTTGCCATGACTGAATTGGATTGGAATCCTAAGCTGAGCTGGTCCTGAGCTGCCAGGGTTGTATAGTGATAAGTGTAGTAAGTAAGTTTGAAATAGTAACTTCTGAAAGTATGAAAAAGATACAGTATGAATGACAGTTGATTTTTATATGTATTTTTAGTATACAAAGGCTGCTCAAAAGTTATATTTCCTATTTTACTATGTTGACCCGTGATGTCAGAGGTAGATGTTGGTGGTATGGAAGCAAAGGTTGAACCTTGTCACCAGTATTCCATTCCATTTTGTTGCCATGTGACAGATGGCAGCAGAAGGGCATTCTGACACAATGGCATCTGACATGGAAGCGTGAATAAAGCACAGGTGTGAAATGGATTTCTCCAAGTAGAGAAAATGGTACATTGAGTGACATTCATTGACAACTTGGTGAATGTTGATAGAGACCAAACAGGGAATGTGAGCACAGGGAGGTGATGGGTGGTGCATTTCAATAGTGGGTCTCCTCTTCTGGCACAGACTTTTTATGAGCACAGCATGCAGGTTCTTGTTCATTACTGGTAGTGACTATGTTGAAAAATAATGTTTTGTAGCTGGGAATTTGCTCTCTGAAGTTGTTTGCCAATTCAAACTGATTTTACAGATGCTTTTCTCTACTAGACCTGTATTCATGTTCAGAAGTCAAATACAGTGCTTCCTTAATTTCTCTAGTCTCTCTTAACCGTATTTAATGTTTGTGGTAGAGGAGATAGGGCAAAAATGTACTTTAATTCTAGGTCTCTTAAATTCCCTGAACTCTTCAGTTAAAATACTAGGCAAGCAGATCAGATTCCTTATTCAGCTGTAAAAATGTGTGCCTGTATGAAACCTGCACTTACAAGTTACGACTTGCTGTGTTTCTATGAATTGATGTCATAGGATGAATTACAAGTTTCCATAGTAGGATAAAAGTGTTGGTTGGACATCAGGATTTTTTTAAAGCCATAAACAATGTATCTTGGATATGTATATGAAAGTTACATATGCTTAACCTACAGTATTACTGAAAGCATGGATCTGATTCCAATTCTGTCTTCTCTTCTGCAGCGATTACCTAGACAAATTGAAGAGCGGAATGAAAAATTAAAGAAAGAAATGTTAGGTAAGTAGTATGCTTATATAACTTGCTTAATAATCATTGTGGTCTGCTAGAAAAATAAAGGATATAATCGTGTTAAAGCTCATGATTTATTCCTATTTCTCCATTGCTTAGTTTTGCCTACAGAAAGTTTTAGCCAAATAATTTTCCCCATAGAAAAGGTTACTAGTTAAATTTAAAGGCAGTAATATTCAAGATATTCTATAACAATGTAAAAGCAGAGGGAAATGGGTTTGAAACAGGCTCTGTTCTTTCTCTGTGCAAGCAAACTTTCAAAGGAGATGTTCTCATGAATGGGTTAAAACAGTTTTCACTAAACTATACATAAAAGAATTCAACCAGCTGTAATAACTGAGCATGTTTGATCTTGTGACTGAAGAAATAAATTTGGTTCCTTTTGTAGCATTTTCCACCTATAGACCTCCAAGTCTTCATATTTATCCTGGTTTACATGGTATTTCATTGCTGTGTGTGTTGAGGCTGGAGTAAAGCCTACCTACTGTTACAAGCAGGCTTCTGGCCTTGCTAGGAAAGGAATTATAAGAAAAATTAAGAAATCAAATTCATAAATGTCAATATATACCAAAGGATACTGTTGACCATTTTTAAAGAGAATGTAATTGGTATAACTATTTGAATGTACGTGCCCCCATGATTGTATTGTATGGCATTGTTTGGATAATAACTTAACAGGATTGACATCTTTCAAAAGGATAATTACTTAAATAAGATTGCCCAAGGAAGTTAGGTTTTCTTGTGTAATAAGAATTTGTGTAAAACACTTCCTTGCGCAACTCACAGTGTTAGGATAAACTAATAGTTGTGGGGTGACCCACAAAGGCTGTTGTCAATGTTGTTTGCTGCCTCCTGATCAGAAGGATTTGGTAGTTCTTACAGGTTCAGATACCAGATATCCTGATATTCTGGTTTTAAAACGAGGTGTTGGTGGGTTTTTGTTTGTTTTCACATAATCTTTTCATCTGTGTTGTCTAGAAATTGCACACAAAAGAGCAAGGACAAATGTCAGTATAAGATAAAAAGAGAAAGTTGACTGTACGTGACTAGCTGTCAGCAGTTAGCTATTTACTCATTCTACGTGTGACAAGTAGGAGATGAAATGTTTTTTCTAAGATGGATAGGTTTTGAAAGTATAGGATGGTGTTTTGTTATTCTGTGGAGAATCAGGTTAAACAAACTCAGTCTATCTTGCATACAATAACACTAATTCCTTTATTTGGGAAGAAGAGACGCTTTGAAGAGATTCTACTGTAGTTGACATTGTTCTTCAAGTTTTGCTTCTCATTGTGCAGGGAGTCTGATGTGAATCTTGTTTTGTATGTCTCTTGATCTACTGAATTTAAATAAAGTTGCTGTAAGGCTTTCTAGAGCTGCTCTACATCATCAGATTGTTTCCAGCATTGTGCTTAGAACAAGCTACAAATAACTGACAAATGCAGAAAATCTCCAGAAGGATCATGCCTCTTTGTAGGATGCAATGCTTTTCAACACAAACTAAAATGAAAACAGTTCCTGAGCTCTTTTGAATTCTCCCTTTTTACTACTGATAACAATGTCTAAACAGCCTCACTGATCACAAAAAGTACTGAAACAATAAATCCAGCTTTATAAACTGTCATTAGCAGCTTAATTCTATATTGTTAACTTTTGTCTAGATTTCAGACTAGATGTAATTTTATTTAGAAGTGTTAATCCAGTGGCAGGTAAGATTTAAGAACTGGCCTGATCTTCTGAGAGTTCAATCAGGTGATGTATATTGGGATGCTAAAGAAGGGAATCCCTTCTCAGTGACATTATATATGTGCAAGGGGATGCACTGACATTTACTTTTGTAAACAGCCAGACTAAGAGTCAGCATGTAACCCTGTTTTCATCCATAACCTCAGTGCAAAAGGATTCACGTAAATTATATGTTGTTAAAATTGCCTAGTGTCATTTGGGCATTTATTCATGGCATTACTTGTTATCACCAGTGTAACAGAAAGTAAGGAATTTTTCTATCATAATCTCTTCATAGAACATTTGAAGTTAAGTTTCAAATACAGACAATAATTACTCATTTTATTTAAGTGTTATGCCCAATATCTTGTCCATAACAGAAGCAGGAGCAATGTCATGCATCTAATGGTGCAGGCCTGGGAAGAGAAACCCTTCCAGCTGAAGGGTGGAGCAGGGAGGAATTAAGAGTTCCGGAAGGAATGTAAGATAAACTTGAATAAGTGTGGTGTTTAAAACATTTATTTGGATTCTTTTTCTTGTACAATGTGTTTGTTTCAAGCTGCTTCAACTCATGTTTTTCAAGAACTTTTTTAGTGCTATCTATCCACTGAGTACTGCGTCAGAATTGACAATTGCTTAACAGTAATCTGCAACCAGTGCCAGCCATAGGAAGATTTGTTCTCCAGCTCTCTCACAGGAGAGCCAGCTGTGCTGTCTGGGTTGTGCCCCAGAATTCTTGGTCCCAGAAGAGCAAGTCAGACACATCCAAATAGTTCCAGGTCAGGCCTTGTGCAGGTACACTTACACTGAACTTATGTAATAACTAACAATGTCTTTTAGAATAATGTAACACTTGTGCCTTTTGAAGTTTAGATACTACCTTGAATTCTTATTTTAGTCAGTATATCAGCTCGTAAATGTTTTTTTTTCTGGGCTTTTATGGTTTAGTTGAAACACACTAAGCACTGGTGTACCCAGCACAGCTCAGTAATGCTGCCATGAAAACCAGAACTGTGTACAAATGAACTTTAAAAAGAGTGCATCTTCCTCCTTCCCCCAGTGTGTTGTTTCCTGTTTTCCAGTGCCACAGCTCATCATTACCACATAGTTTGATAGAAACTGAAACCACTTCTTAAGTGATGGTATGTAAATAAATCAGAATACACATTCTTGGCTGGACCTTCTTTTTCAGACTATCTTGCTATGAATCCTTGCATACAAATGGTAGTTGCATGTGATTAATGAAATTAATGTCATTAGAAAAAATGATGGTTTATTGCCAAATCAGCCCCATTTCTGCTATGTATTCTGAAAGGTTTAACAAGTCTAAAGCTGGCATTTGTTTTTAATTTATGTTTGTATTTTCCATTCAGTATTAGCAGGTTAATGTTGTCACACAATGCTAAAATTGGCTCAGTGCCACCTAACCTCCATTTGAGTTTCATATAAATGAAAGCTTAACTTATAGCACACTTTCAAAGTAGCTTTTAAATGCTTGTGGCACTGATGTGTTCAAGGTCAGGTTGGACAGGGCTTTGGACATCCTCCACGAGATTAGGTTGCCCATGCCCATGGCATGAGGGTTGGACTAGATGGTCTCTAATGGTCCATTCTAACCCAAACCCATTCTGTGATCTTATTGTTCTTTTCCTTTATGTTTCATAACATGGGCATCCTCTGCCTCCCTCACTGCCTAGGATTAGAACACATTCTAACCATTTGGATTATTTTTCTTCTGATTTTAAAACAAAAGGTCTCTAGCTATTGTGCAACAAGCTAGTCTTGTTTAGATCCTCATTATTGTGATAAAGGACCATGGCCCTCAGGGAGAGGGTGTGAAGTGAGCGGGAGTTTGGAATTGTTTCAGTGAGGTTTAGCAGCTTGCTGGCTGTGATCACAACACAGTTTTTTACATAGCTAGAGGAAAGCTAAGCGTATTGGATGTAAACATTGGAGTGGGACATATGCCAATCTGTGTAACTCATCTTATACAAACAATTCATCAAATCTGATCAAAAACACTTGGGATTTTCAGCTTAAGTTATAAAATGAGTGTATTCTGGAAAACAGTAAAATGTACGTGCTTATTAATGTGATTAACACAAAGACCAATCGGAGCATATCGCCTGGGCCTTTCCATCAATAACAGCTTTTTCCAGCTACTTAAGATCAGTGAAAATATTTATGAGGCTTAATGCCTGAAGAATGATTTTCTTCTTTGATACTGAAGGGTATGTTGTGTTTGAAACTAAGCAGCTGAAGCTCAGTACTGTGAGTACAGAGAACTTGAGGTCACTTGAAGTAGTTCAAACTGACATACAGTTACTTTTTGTCCAGTCTTTGCTTACCATTTAGGGGTAGGAAGATGGTTTGTCCTAGCTCTTCTAATTGCTTCAGAAATGCTATTGATATACAGAAAGTTACACAAAGATAAGACCTCTTCAGAAATTTTTTAATCCAAAAAATTCTTAGCATAAACAATATCTGGCTTTTCAACTTCGAAGCAACACATATTCTCTAGCAACTGTATTAGAAGAATTGCCAGAAATACTCAACAGCAGCCAATTATGATTGTTACATGAAAAATAAATCATGAGAAGTCTTTGTGCATCAATCTTTTGTAACAGAACATTACTTTTTTTGTCTAGGTGAATAATGAATCACAGATTTCTGAGACTTACATTGATTCTTCCCAGTTATTTTTCCTGTTAATCTCTCAACATTGTTCTGCTCAATAACTTTAGCATGATGGAGTTCCAGGTGGAAAGTACACATGTGCTGTTTTGGGAGAATGTGACCCTGCTCTAGTGAGTGCTTGACTGCTGAGAACTCCTTGCAGCTGAGTCACAGCTCCACATGCTTTTTGCCTCCTTCCAGCACAGTATTTCTAATAAGACTTTTTCTTTGGGGGAAGGGAAGGGTTGTGCTTAACTACTGATCTTAATTTAGGGATGAAAGGAGAGCGGGGGAGGAAGAAGCAGTGCACACCAAACAGTGGGAACAGTGCTTTGGGCTTGAGTTTCTGGAAAAGGCAAGGCTTTCTTCTGCTTTATTTATATTATTTATTGGATGTGGTGCTCAGGGACGTGAGTGGAGGGTTGATAGGGTAGTATATAGGGTAGTATGGTTAGGTCATGGTTGGACTTGATCTTTAAGGTCTTTTCCAACCTGAGTGATTCCATGATTAACATTTTAATTAATGTGGCTGCACCAAGAGGCAGTGCTGTATGTGGACTTCTGTGGCAGAACGGAATGGTGACCTCTAACTGTATTGTTTAATGTATAGTCACAGCTTGGGTGAGATGAAGAATAAAGTATTAAATACATCTTAGAGCCTTTAGCTTCTCCCAGAGAACTGGCCTAGCTACCAGTAAGAATGCCAAGGCCGTTATTTTGTGTTTATGCTCTACTATGACCGGAAAAGAGCCATCATACTAACTGCCACTAAAAAGGCCTTTCAGTGTTTTCTGAGACAGGCAAACTTGTCTTCCTGCTCCTGAGCCAGCTGCAGTGCTCAGATAACTTGTAAACTGTTTACAACTGGCTGTAGGAATGCCAGACTATGCCAGGGTTCTTCCACCACTAGACAAAGACACTTCTCACCCAAAAAAAGTGAAGCTAAGCAATGACTGATTGTTTGTCCAAAAGCACAATAGAACTATTCATCCCCATCGTAGAGACACTGTGAACATCTTTGTAGTTTTATATCAGAGTGCTTTTAGAATGAAGTGTAAAATTATGAACTTGACTTAGTAGTGAATTTACACTGAACAGTGTAGCTTAGAAAAATGAATCTGTAGAAGGAAGCTAACCCTAAGTGAGCTGCCCACTGGAGTAACCTTGGCCAGATCACTCAACCATCTTATCTGTCAATCTGAACAGGAAAATAATATTAATAAAACAAAAAGCAAAAACCCATCCTACTAACTAGCTGCTTTTGTAGACAAAGGTTGTCTTTTTTTTGATGCAGAATTTCCATTTTGACTCTCAGAGACCAATCTTGCTTTAAGATAATTGCACAGATACCTGCAAGGTACTCAATTGTGAACCTGCATTTTGATGCAAGATCTTTAATTACACTGGCTAATATTTAGACGTACTGTAGGAATATTAACCGTTAGTTTCCTTATACAGGATTGAGCTGCTCCTCAGATGTTTGCATTTTTTGACTATTATTTCTTCTTGTATTTTCTATGAATGTTTTTGAAAAGCTTCCCTTCCCTAATTCAGTTTTGCAAATGTGATTGGAAACATAGCCTATTTTGGATTACTGGGACAGTGTTTAACCTGGCTTGAACAGTTGCCAGATAGTCTGCCCCTTGTCTCTTATGTCTGCTGAATAAGTCCAGACTTTGATACAGTTTCTGTTTTGAGTACAGTCACAGGGTTGCAGCAGGGTGCAAGGCAAATGACTTGATCTGTTTGTACTCTGTGTAACATAAATACTGCTCGTGTCTTTTTGCAAAGGACTTGCATAGAATTTCGCTCCTTACATTTCTGTATTTCATCACTGCTGTGAAGTTACTGCTTCAGTATGGCTTAGCAACAAAGCTCTAACTCAGTCCAGATTTGTTTGCTGCATTGCAGTGAGGAAACCTAGCTAATAGCAGTAGTAATGATTGCACTTCTGGGAACAACTTGTCCTGGGCGCCACCTTAAGCAAAAGAACCTAGCAGAAGCATAGAAACTAAATGGTAACTACTCTTATGACTTTGCTGTTGTATCCTAATACTTAGTTTAGAAACAGAAGTAAAGGTAAAGATGACATCTAGAATAACACGTACACGTCTTGTGTCTGAGATGGCTTTAAGAAAGCACACAGATAAAAGTTAGGAACAGCCAGGAGGAACGTGATATTTTTCTTGGAAAAGCAGCCGTCTTTCTTCTGCCTTGTCGTGCCAAGAGATCAGCCAGCTTGTTTAGCCAGCACTGAAGGTGTAAATTTTGCCTCTTGTTTAATTTTATGCATTTTACCTATTCTACAGTCTCTATTTAAATATGATTTTTTTGAAGGATGTCCTTTTGTTGTCCTTCTTTTATAGGTGGTAGGAACTATTGTTTAGTGGAGTCAGAAAGCTTGTGTGGTGTGTATATTAATAGTAGCCTTTGGATTTGAACTGTTGTACTTTATGTATCTTTAATAATGCTTGTTAAATAACGGTCGCTTAGAATTCCTGGCAGGGATGAGTTGGCTACAGAGAACTGTAGTTTTGAACATGAGTTCCTGATGGCAGGATGTCATCTGTCATGCTAAGAATGGTTACAAAGTTGTATGCTTCAAATGGAACTGCTTTGGTAGAAGATGCAGACATTTGCATGGATGGATTTCTTTTAATGTTCATTGTATCAATATACATAATCTAGAAAGAGAGCTGTAATAATTATGAGCGAGCAGAGTTTGAACTTTAGCTTTCTCTGTTTCTGTTGGCAGTCCAGGAAACTGGGCAGTTCTAATATCATTGAATGTTTATAAAACTGTAACTGCACCAAAGTGACAGGAACTGAAAAAATTATGTTAAAAAACAGAGTGTTGGCAGGTATCAAAGTTATATCCAAGTACAGGAGAAACTGATTCTTTTCTGTGACATGCTAAGGTCCTGTGTTAGGAGCACTTGTGACTGAGGAAATAAAGAACTACTAGTTAGCCAGAACCAGATGGTGTCTGCAGTCACTGCATCAGGGCTGCCTGACAGACCTGTCAGAATCTGAACCGATCTACTTTCAGCTCCAGAGCTGACACTGGCTACATCACAACTGGAATTTTTTTTAGTTCGTACAGGAGCCTAAATATTCAACTAACTGGAGAGATTTCCACAGCATTTCCTTTGAATTTGTAGTTGAATTGGTGGAGCTGGAGTGTGTAGTTGGGCATCGTTCAGTGGGAGTTTTCCCTCTGCTTACTACTCACGTATTTCTTTTTCATTGTAGGCAAACTGAAAGATCTTGGGAATTTGGTTCTCCGCCCCTTTGGCCTGTCAACAGAAAATTTCCAGATAAAACAGGATTCATCAACTGGCTCATATTCCATCAATTTTGTTCAAAATCCAAACAACAATAGATAACATGAATTCAGCTTAGTTCTGCTGGCTTTCAGGCTTCGTGACCATGTGCTTGCACGTACCAATACAAGGATTCAGCAAACATTCTTCACTCTGTCCAAGTGAAGATAGACTCAAGCAAATTCATTTCCCTGCTTATAAATTATTTACAATGTGGATGTAAAGAAAGTCATTTGACTTCTTTTAGTGATAACTATGTCCTGTGTGTGATTCTTCACTTGCAGTATTTGGCTTGTCCACCAGTCAGGTACATTATTTTGGCCCATTCAATGCTGGCAAGAAAATTCTAGCAAGCAGTTCAGTTGAATCAAAACGCCCATGCACCTGTGGCCAAGAACAAAGCCAAATGGTGTCTTGGGGAATTAATGAATCTAGCAGAAGCACTTCTCCACATTCGGGAGGTGGATGTGACTGACAGCATGCATGGAAGCAAGCCGACCTCCTCTGTGGAATATTTTTTCTTGGTAATAAAGGCTTAGTATTTCTGTTGGATTGAATGTGAAGTTCTTGCCTTGTGTGAATCCTTTCCATGGTGGCAGTGTTGTTTAAAATTCTTACATCTACCCACATACAAGACAGTAATTTGATGCACCTGAGGTGGTTTTTCTTCTTGCTTATAGCAACATCAGTACATTATCCTCAGGCTACCCTTTGTTTACTTTTTATTTATTTTCCTTTTTTATTTATTTTCCTTTTTTATTTATTTTCCATTTTCCATGGAAAATGATGTTACCTATACACCTTGGAAAGGTCATATAAAGTTAGGGAAATCTGCTTTTCTGAGACTTATTCATGTTACAGATCCCCATAATGGCCAACAATTGACATTAAAATTGATTGTGAACGTTCCTTTTGATGTAACAGGGTTTGAGAATGTTGAAGCATTAATCTATGGATAACTATAAAAAAAAAATTTTTTTTCAAGTAGTTCATTCAGATTTTGGAGAAATGAATATCTTTTGTAATTACTGCATACTGTTTTGGTTTTTTTAAATCAGTGTGGAAATGTTTACATTGGAGGCAGACTTCTTCAGTTGTCTCCACGCAGATTTCAAAACATGATTTAATTAAATAATTACTGGTAGCTCTCTGTTGGCTATTAGTTGTCATCTTAAATTTATTTCAAAAAATCTTTTTCTAAGACTGAAACTGTACTTGCTGCATGTTTTGAGCTCCAGTCTTTACAGTGATATGCCTGAAGGGAATACTCCCAAGCTTTCTTGGTGCTTTCTTTTTCTTCCATTTTAACAGTGCAGACTTAAAGGTGTAGGGTTTGGGGTTTGTTGTTCGTTTGTTTTTTGATTGTTGTTTAACTCTGTTCTGGTGCATTTTTAGTTTTGACTTTGTGGTTAACTGTCTATAAATTATTTCATGTCTGCAGTGAGGTTGTGTTACATTTATGAGAATTAAAATGTCATTGCCAAGAGAGAAACCAAATTCACAGTAAGGACTGTGCTGCCTTTAACATCTTCTGTGTAATTAAAATGTCTCTTAACTAAGCAAAAGCATCCAGCCTCTAGGATTTCCACGTGCTGAAACAGTAACTATGTCTTGTTTTACTGGACTACAGTTCCTAAGTGCAAGATTTTATTTTCTGTACTAAAATTGGGTAGACTGGTAGGTGTATGGATGGGAGGTTTTAAAGAAAGATGCTGCTCATGGTGCTGTGGGTTAACCCAGCTGGGAGCTCAGCATCATGCAGTCATACACTCACCCCCTCCATTCCCAGTAGCAGAGGGCTGAACTTACCTGTGCAGTGCAGTGAGGATAAAAAGGAATGTGCTGGGAGAGAAGTCTGCTCACACCCAACAGGCTGCATAGGCTAATTAACTGGCTCAGAGCTGGCAACTCTGCTTTCAGAAGTGCAGCTCTCTGCTTTCACAAGAGAGCTCTTTAGACTCACAGAAGGCTTATTAGGTGAAGCAGAGTACTGAGACTGGTATAAATCTCACTAATTTTACCTGAAGCCTGGACTACTAAGGAGCAGAGGCTCCAAAGCAGCCCTGGGCAGAGGTCCTGTTAAGCTGGAATTCATAAGCTTGGTTTGAGCCCAAACTGAGAAGCTACTCAGGAATGCCTGAATTATGCCTTGTTAAAGCTTCTAGGTCAGCACATAACAGGTAGAGATGTCCACTGTTGCTGTTGCAGGCTCCATGCTGCCTGACAATGAAGAAGTGTCCGGCCCTGGAGGCAGAGTAGTAGAGCTGCAGTTGGAGCAAGGTAGTCCACTGACTTGAATTTCACCAGCTAACTCCTGGCCTGAGCAAAGGAGTGCATCCAGGAGTGGTTTGTCTTGTTTAGCAACAGCCCTCTATCACTGAATGTGAGGCAGCTTAGATCAGAATCCCAGCCTTCACTCCACTGCAGTACATACCCCTACACCATGCAGAAATCGAACCACTTTGAAGCTACCGTGGATACTTAATTTTTTCTTTGTATCTTGATTATTGCCAATTAATTGTTATCTTTACTCAGCCTTCTGTGTTTATTAATTACTGGTATATGGCTGTTGCGTGGAGTTACAGGCAGCGATTTAACAATTTGCTGCTTTGTCTTATAAATGAATTTGGTGACAAATGCTCTTCCTGCCATTCTGTTCCTGCTTCTTATCTTTAAGGCCTTCTTGGGCAGAGGCTGGGTAGCTTGTTCTGGAAAATAAAAGCACAACAAAACTTGTGATATTTCTACCTGCTGTGCAACTTCCCTGCTGGATGCCTGCTGTGTACCTGTAGTTTTAAAATGAAGGGTAGAATAAATGGAGCTGAAGAATTGCAGCTGATTTGCTTTTCATCCTTGTTTGTAATTTAATTGCATTGTGTGAAAGAGACAGCTTAATGTCACTGTAAGTTGTGCACACCATTAGAGAGGACTGATCTGTAGGTCATTCCTACTCAAAGTGCCGCTGTCTGGCTAGAATAAAAACCTCTGGACTGTGTTATTTGACATTATTGCAAGTTTTTTTCCAGGTAAAATGCCAATTAATTGCCTGACAGAAGCTCTTTTGCATTGTCCACATCCTGAACCAGCTGCCTTTTTTTTTTTTTTTTTTTTTGGCTTTTTATTTTAAAAGGGATTTTTTTTAATGTCTAAACTAGTCATCACAGCTGCCAAGAGAAAGGTAATTGGTACTTCCTCCTGTTGTAAATGGCCACAAATCCCTTATTGCCAGGGTGTTTTGAGTCACATGCATTGGGTTTACAACCTCTAATAGGAAAAAATGCTTTATGCAGCAATCTTTTAAATATAAATGCTCTAAATCAACAACATCTCTTAGAGATTTGTTCCAATAGTTACTCACCCTTGTGTTTTCAACAGACATGCCTCTTTTCCTCTTGGCGTTGTCTCTCCTCAGCTCCCAGCCTTTGTTTCATCTCATTTCTCTGCAAAAATAAAAAGCTGTTAGTACCTGGCACTTTCTCCTTGAACATGTTTGCATAGTAATGAAGGGGCCAGCTGGTTTTCTCTAAAAGCTGAACAGACAGGGTTTCTTTAAGACTTTCCCTACAAATAATTTTCGCCAGGATTTCTGTAATGTTCGTGTCTCAGACTTCTTTTTCCTTTATCATTTGTCTCTTTCCTTTATCCTTGCCATTTAAGAGGGGACATCAGAAACTGATGCTGAGTTTTGTTTCTTTTTTCTACTCTATATAGAAAGCATTACATTTTTGCTTACTTCTTTCTTGCTTATATGCTCAAACACTGTTAGCCCTTTGGGCAACAGCTGTGCCAAGTTTCAGACCCCCTAAGCCTTTTCTGGAAGGAATAGCTGGTTCCTCAGACACAGACCCCCACTTTCCTGCAGCTGTGGGTGAGTTGTTCTTGCTTGTGTTGTTGCAGCTAAATGCAGAATTCAGTCATGTTTTCTTTGGTCTAGCTTGACAAAAACTACGTTGTTTGGTATGACTTCCCACCATGCTGCTGCTTATCAGGGTTTTCAGGAGTGACTTCAGGTTTGTTTCTCACAGATGGAAGTGTTGAATAGTAAGAGAACTAGCTGAGATTTGAGCAGGATCTCACAGAAGCATCCCCATTGCAAGGACAGTGGCAAACTGAGGTCTGCCAGAGAGACAGACCTTAATTCATGTGTGCAACATTTATTTTATATTGTAGATATTCCCCTATAAATATTACATATATTGTAGAGTGCAGTGCCAGGTATATCTTCATGATTAGATTAGCTGAGAATTGTTGAATAACAAGATCTATTTTTGATGGATTTTAATTGCCTCTTTTCTGTTAATTCTTTATTCAGACCCTGCTTACACAGGGCATGTTTGTGTGCCTCTTGGTGTGAGCAGTGATTGCAGACAGTATTTCAACCCAATTCATCTCAAAAGAAACAGAACCCTAAAAAAAAAGAAAAACTGTGGATGAAGGAAGAGGGTTGAAGAGTGTTCAGTGAAAAATGGACGGATGAGTATTTGTTTGTAGAGGAAAAAAAACAGTTTTCAGTTTGTCTCACCGGACAATTTCAGGCAAACTGAAGAAATGGGAAAATGTAATGAAAGAAATCTCGAGGGTAAAGCTGCTGATTTCAAAGTTCATGCTTTGGTGTTGGACGAAAATACTGATATGGTTCAACTGGCCATTTTTATCAGAGGTATTGGAGGCAAACATCACTGGAGAAATGGCTTCTTTGATGCCATTGAAAAAACACAACTAAATCTCCTGATTTTTATGAAGCAGTAAAAATTACATTAAAGCAATTTTCTTTAGCCTTTGTCAGCAGATCTGTTACAGCAATTGATGGGGTCCCAGCAATGGCTGATTAAAAAGAGGGACTTAGAAAATTAATAGAAAAGATACAATTGCTGCCAGCAGCTCATGTTTCATGAAATCTCATAGCATCATACATCAAGAAAATGTATGTATGAAAGCTTTAAAAATGGATAATGTTGTGCAAATCTTCATCAAAGCTGTGAATTTCATCAAGTGTAAGGGATTGAATCATCACCAATTCCAGGTGTTCCTTTAGTGAATGGATGCTGATTATGGGGACATCATTTAATTTTCTGAAGGAAGGTGACTAAGAGTGAAATGCTAAGAATTTTTCTACAAGTTGTGAAGTGAAATCAAGTCATTTATGGGATCAAAAGGAAAATGTGTGCCAGAACTTATAGATGAAAAATGGCTCATGGATTTAGCATTTGTGATGGATTTCACTACTCATTTAATTGAGTTAAACGTGTCCTCAGAGTGAAATTTAACTTTTCAGTGCTATATGTCGAACCATGACAACATTCAAAATGAAACTTAATTATGGCAAGCTGAAGTCATGGCAAATAATTTCATGCACTTTGGTACAATGGCTAAGCACAGCCCCGTGAACAACAGTGCAGCCCAGGTGAGCCAAAAGGTTGAACAAGCTGCTCTAAATATTACAACTGTCCAAAGCAGCATAGCCAGGACCTCATACCAGAAAGCCCTTCTAGAAATAAATTTAGAAAATTCAGAGTGCTCAGCACATCTTCAGCACTTTAGCTTTTCGTTACAAGGCCACTTAGAAAGTAGCTCATTTGTTTTCTGGTGGAACCCACAAGTAGCATTTCTGGGGCTTTACCAGCACAGCCAGTGACTGTGCTCAGTAGCCTCTTCAGTCTGTGGTATCTAAAATTGCTGCTGTATCTTCATTCCTGAATAGGTAATAGCAAATAATTGCCAGTCTGATCATTTAAGTCATTCCAGTACATCACCATGTGCTAAAGCTTCTATATCATTTGTGAGAATGTGCCAACTTTCTTATTGTGCAGGAATATCAGAAATAAGATCAAGGAACCTTTGAGTGTTCTCTTGTAAATAATCTGCATTTAATTATAACAGTAAATTTCAGATTATATCACTTCTGTTACCTCTATGCCTTCATGTGTGATGGGAGTGGGATACCCAGGAGAGCTGTCTTCATCTTCTCTTCTTCTGCCAGCACTCACATCAGCTATCAGCTCCAGCTCCCGTGTCAGACCTGCACAGAGTTCACGGAGTCGGCGCTGTCTCAATTTGTATTATAAGATCTGCCTTTCAAAACACCAGTCTTAAGCAGAAGACAACACTCTCCAGCACAGAAAAGAGACCTTGAGACTAACATAATCCATGCTCATGACTTACTGTAACTGCAGTGCTGCTGATCCCCTCCTGCCCAGCCAGTAAGCAGGAATATGAAACCGCTCCCAGCTCCTCACACCAGAATATTTGGGATTTGGTAAAGCACCAAGCTTTGAAGTTGAACCCTTCCCTCCCTGATTAGTGCATTTCATCACTTTCTTTCAGACCCACCTACCCCTGATGAGAGCAGACACAGCTGTACAAAAAGGAGAAGCCTCTGGTCACCAGCTCCTGTGCTTTAATGAGCTATGCTGTTCCTAAGGGATTACTGCAGAAGCCAGGAGCTGTTGCCAGCTGCAGCAGCCAAGAACCAATTATATCCAAGTACCACCTCTTTAACTGTAGGTACAGATGTGTACAGGCACATTTAATGTGCATTAATACATTGCTCATTCGCAAGCTTTCCCTGTTTGGAAGAATCCCAGCATTTTCTTGTTCAGCTGCTTAGTTTTCTTTCTAAACCTGCACAGCCTCCTGCATGAAAGGAAGTAATTGCTGGGGGGATCTTTCATCAGCAGAGGCTCTGGTTAGCCGCTTGTCAAAGAAACATTCTGCTGAGGCACAGTAAATTGCCAGGCTCTCTGCTGCTGTGGCATTAAGCCAGAGTCATCACAGCCTACCCTGACAGAGCAAAGTCCTTTATAGATGAAATGTCCTAAAACAGCCAAAAAACATTAACCACATTTTTCTGATTCTGCATGTTCAGTGGCAATCCTCCCAGCTGGAGGCATCACCATTTGCAGCTATGTCTCCAGCCTGGAGCCAGGATTCCCCATACCTGCCTGCTGCTCAGCAGCTGGCTCACAAGAAAGCCATTCTCAGATCAGCCCTCCTGGCACAGACGCAACACCAACAGCTCTCCTTTCCTAGCCCAGCCTGTTCACCCCTCTGTCCTTTGCATCGCTGTCCACACTGACCATATGCCCAGCACTGCTGCAGGGAGCAGGCGCCCTGTGCTGCAGGAGGTGGCTGGAATGGCCTAAATGTATTCCCGGAGCATTGCTGGCATGTGCCAGCCATAAAACTGGCCCCTGGAGAGGCAGCAGGGCGGCTGGGCTCTGGTAAAATAATTGCATCCAGCAATTGCATCTGCCTTTATCTCAAGGAGAACTGACACATTTCCATTAGCTCGTCTGCCACAGCCTGCCATCTTGGGGCACTTTTCTGTCTGAGAAAAGAGGAAACGCAGAATCTGGTAGCTCTGGGAAGAAGAGGCTACAAGCAGATGTACTGCCACCCCTGCCTGTTACATGGCAGCTCTCTATGGCCCCACGGACCTGCATGTGCCCAGTCTGAGCTCAAACACAGCAGAGGCACTGATACGTGCAACCAGCAGCAAGTTTACTAAGCCAAGACACAACCAATAGTTCTGCTATAGTTTTACCATATTAAGGAAAACGTACGTGATGTACGTACAGCAGCCCTTGTTCTCCCAGCTTATTTGCAGTGTTCTCTTTGAAAAGACAGACAACAGAGTGACTCAGGAGAAGGCTAACCATCTCCAGCTGTACTGTATTAGTAGTTCAGAGGCCTCATCTTAAGCACAGGCTGATGCTCTTCCTTCTGGAGCCCCAACCCCAGCTGCTTTCTCCAATGGCTCAGAGAACTTTAATATTTGAATGAGCCCAGGAGCAGGCACAGCCTGCCTTTAATATTTAATGACCAAGAGGACTACATTTGGAAATTTGTGCCTCTGAGCTCTGAAGACTCGGAGCTCTTAGCTGAAAGTTTGGATTTTGGAATTAGAACTGCCCCTCGTTAGCTTTGAATATTTACCCAAAATCCCAAACAGCCCAAAGCTGACACATGGGTCACAGCCTGCCTGGCCCTGAGCACAAATGGCTTGGGCTCCAAACCCAGCAGGTGAATAAAAACAAACACTACTGAAACACTCAAGGGAAAATCATGAACAGAACCATAAAGCCAGGCTGCAGAATGCAAACAACAACCTGCCAGCGCCGTACCAACCAGGAAAAAACCCAACCCTTTTTCTAAGGCCATCCATATGTACTGAGCCTGCCAGAGCTTTCCTGCACATAGAGGGAGAATGACATCCAATGACTTGAGCGGGGACAAGAAATAAGGACAGCGGGTGCCCCGTGATGCCAAGGGCAGGTCACCATTCCCGTGGCTCTCAGAGGGCTGCACACACTGCTGCTGTGTCATTCCACTGCTTTTACAGTCAGCACCTGGCAGTGCAAGTACTGCTGTGCCACTGGGAGAGCAGGAGGATGAACTTCCTTGCAGGGTGGGTCAGATCTCCACGCGAGGCACAACAACACCAGCCTTGTCTGCAACCTTCTTGTGTTCCCAACCTTTCTGAAAGTGCAAAAGCAGGAAAAGGACATTGCCATGCAAATCTCAGCAGCCCCTTATGCTCTCAGTATCCCCAGAGGATGCTGTCAGACAGGGATATGAGCCCAGCTCATCAGAGGGGAACACAAAGGTAATGTGAGATGTGTGCCATTTCCTTAACTACGAAGGCAGCCGTGGGCAGTTAACCATCTTCTATGCTCTTCACCACATTGCATTTTAAAATAACAAGTACGTGACAGCACCTGCACTGACCACACCACCTCTCTTAGCAGTATGCCCTATTCCCCTCAGAAGTCTGCCCAGTGGTCTCACCCTATAAAAAATTTTGTTTCTTCATTCCAATCCCTCACATTTCAGCTGGCACATCAGCAGCACGAGCACTTCTGCCCTCATTAAGTATTCCCCTTTTGATGCTTTGGAGATGCAGTAAACATGATTACAGAGTGGCATTGTGCAGGATTGGCTTCGCTGCTGAAGGTTGGCTTACTTTTGTACTTTCATCACCAAACTGCTGGAGTGAAGATTAATCAGTGGAGTAATTGCAGACCTCTGAAACCTGTATGGCCAACCTCTCCTGTGGGTTTCACAGCCATGCAGCAAATCCAGCACTCCCACAGGGAAAGCTCCCAACACAATGCCACAAAGGAAAAGCCATTAGTGAGCAATTACATTTCAGCAGGATTTCCCCTCTCCACCGACCCCTAATGAGGATAACCAATTCAAGAGAAACTGCTGCAAGAATGAAAGAATAATGAGAGAAAAGGGATGGGAGTTCCTGTAATCCGGGCAGAATAAGAACTCTGTGAAGGTGAAGAAAAACATATGCTGGAGCTGTGCTCCGAGCGACGGCCAGAGGTGGAGACCTGCTGGTTACAGGAGGCACAAGCTGACCCAAAAGCCTCACAGAGGCCCCACACCAGGGCGGTAGCACTGCAGATGGCATTCATGTGCATGGCCACTTCATTCCAGAAGTTAACTACTCAGTTTTGGAGATGAGTCGATAACAAAACAGCTGGCATCACACAGGCAGCCGGTACCACACAACCTGCTCTCCCTTGAGGGCACCACGATGGGACAGTGCCAATCAGCACGGCGCGTTCCTCACCCAAACAGAGAAATAAATACCTCACTGCACTTACCTGCTGCAGACAACTTGTCTGAAGCCATCAGCACCGCCACAGAAAGGTGAGCAGGTGGGGTGTGGGTACCCAGCGCGTGCTGTGCTGCTGCTGCTTTGTGCCTCACTGGGCTGTGCTTGCCAGGAGCCCTGCAGCTCACCCCATGATCCTTGCCCACGACTGGAGGGCTGCAGCCTCTCACTGGGGCCTCCTTCAGCAGGGCTGGGTGCCTCCATCGCAACCATGAAACGGGGCCATCGGGGTTCATTGTGAATCTAGCTCTATAAAGCACGGCTCATCTCGTCTTCTTAATTACCGGCAAGAAAAAGAAAAGCTTTTCCCCACCTCTTGTGAAAAGCTGGCTGAGCACACCTTGACATCTTTCACCGTTGTGAAATATAAGCCTGGAGAGAGACTTGTCCTGATGACTCACTTCCAGCAGTGGACAAATAAACTCAGTTTAATCTTTAATTCAGAAATAAATAAATAAATAGAAGTCTTTGGGACCAAAGACTAATAAAACAAGGAAGCTACAACATGAAAACGTTATTCAACATTATTTCCCTTTAAAAGAGCGCTGAAAAAAATCAAGGCTTTATTTGAATAAATGTTACACAACATTCTTTATCATTTACTTCTCAGCAAACCTTAAAGGATGAATCGTTTTCCTCATTCAAGTCTACAAAATGAAAGAGGCATAGTGACCATTCAATATACAGACAAGAAGGTAGCACGGAGCAAAGCTTAAATATTAAGCAACTAAAGCAAAAAAGTGAAAAGCAATACATTACTGTAATTCTCTATCATTAGAATATCCCTGACAATTTCATTTCAAAATGAAAATCTGGTTTCAAACAAAACGGCTGCAATACTTTCTGTGAAAACAAACACAAGTACAGTTAGCTACCTTGTCTATTTTTATGCTGTTTGCTTATATACCCATATTATCCAATGCATAGACCTGCATCACTCTTAAGTGTTTTTTTTAATATATATATATATGAAATATATATATATATTTCAGCTGCTGTGCACAAGTGCTCACGGTGAGGAAATAAGAGCACAGGTTAAGAGTCAGATGTCACACAGGCAGGCACTACCGGCTTCTACTTACAACATCAATCGGTTTTCAACCCAATGTGCAATAACCCTGCTATTACAGTCCTGGGCCTTTTTTCCTGAGCAGAAACTGTTTTGTGCCATGTTGTTTGGTGGCTTCTTTTTAGTTTGGTTGTTTGGTTTGGGGTGAGAGTGGGTGGGTGTGGATAAAAATGTGATTTATTAGGCCAAGACTGTCACTGATTACCAATACAACGGGGGCTTGGTGTCCAGAGGTGAAAGGCCAGCACGTACACCGTAGCACATCACTTTCCCTTTCATCACATCAGATGCCTTAATTTTTCTAAATTCTAATCACATCTCAGCCACCAACAGCACCTGACTGGTGAATAGGAAGAGTGCTGCCAAACATTAATCCGAAATTTAAAAAGGAGGATTGCAGTTTATTATGAAAAACTTGAACCTACTGTATAGCATGATGCAGCTATTCATTAAGAAGTAGGCAGTATGTATTTGATTTCCAGCTTTATAAATAAATTACCTCTTAATAAAAGGAACTGAGCAAGCACTCAGCACGACCAGCCTCAGTGTGTGCATTGCTGAATTGCCTTTGCTGGAGCTGCTCCAGCTCCTCACTGTCCTCCTCCCCAACTGCTTAACTAACTGAAACCCATTGCCAACACCAAAGCCAAACAATGGAGGTGGAGTGAGTTCGGATTCAATGTTACTTAATTCGGGCTCCATACACGAAGGCTGTGAAACTGCCTTCGTGCTGACAGAGACACCTCTCAGAAAGGTATCTTTCTTTTTCAATGATCTGGACAAAGACACTATAATACTCTCCCATCAAATCAGGATATTAGTAAAGAGGAAAAGAGTTTAATACAAGTCTTTTCACTTCTATATAAACAGAAATTTGATTTGAGTAGATTATGTGCACATTTTCATTTCTTCAGAACAACTATTTTTTCCCAGGTTATATAATAGATCCCCTTCTAAGAACGTTGTAAGAAATGATACTGCTGAGAAAATGTGCACACAACATCAAATAATCAGTGACAAATAAATTAATATTTAATAACTCAATATTTCAGCAGCATGTCCAGCATTCACAAGCTCCACTGAAGTAAGTCGTAATCACCAGACACCTTTTGGGGAAAGGGAATAAAATGGATCAAACCCACTGGGTTTCTTTTTTTGATTTACAGCTATTTAAAGAAGTCAACAACCATCAGAAACACTAATAAAACCTTTGCTCTACTGGTTACGTATCTGAAAAATATTGACGTCAAAAGGAAAAATTAACCCATGATTTGAAATAGAAATGCCATTCCATTTAATCTCTCTACATTCACAACTCCCATCTTGTTAAAGTATCATAAGCAAAACGCTGCTCTCTGCATCGCAACCTTTCCACAATCCTCAGTTCCCTAAGTGTTACAACAGCATAAATAAAATGCAACCATATTCACACAGAAGGAGCTTTCCCATAATACAGAGATACACGGATTTGTGGTCACTGCCCCTTCCATCACCTCTATGGGAAATGTTGGTCTCACGTAGCAGGACTGTTCATATTGTACAATACAACTGGTTTCGGACATGCTTTTGATCACAGGTCACAGCTCTGCTAACACCTGCACTAAATACTAACTAAGCCTCATAGAATGGAAAATTGCAATGCTAAAGTTAAGAATTAAAATAAAAGTTCAAAAGTTACAGTCAACTTCCCAGGCAATTGGCTCCATCACTGGCACCTATCGAAACATACAAACTGACTGTCACGTTACAAAAAAAACAGTTATTTGCAGTGATTCTTCATACCAATAATTCAAGTGGTTCCTTGCACGTAAGTGTCATAGAGTCTGTAATAATTTCATGCGTCATTTATTGCAAAAAAGTTTTATAAAATATTTCCTAACATCTTTTTAAACTTTAAAGAAAATGTACATTAAGTACAGGTACCCCAGCAGGGTGCGAGGGGTCGCTTCAACATATTTACCCCCTTTCCCATTCAAAAAATGTTTACTACTTGGTGAAGATTTCAGAGGAAAAATAGGACCATTCAGTCTCAGATTTCGTTCAGTCCTGATGAGCTGGTGCTCTTCGTGGCAGTGTAGTGAGGTTCCATAAGAACAGCAGCTGCCTAGTGTCTCTGAGCTGGAAAGGGGAGACAAAGGGAGAACAGTTAAATGCAGTTAAATGCCTTCCAGTATATATTGTAAAAGTAGGCAAACAACATCTGAGGTGGCCAGAAAAGTTCCTGGTTCACCTGGTCAGTTTGGTGTGTTGTGTGCAGAAGACAAATATATATCTATGTTTGTGTGTGTTTTCATTACCATAAGACATACACAAGTGAACAAACTCCTCCACTGATGGGAGCTCTAAGAGAATGGGAGCTCTAAGCTCCATACCAACCTGTTAGGTTCAATTTTCAAATACATTTAGGGGTCGTTCTGAAGGAATGAGATTAAAATAAAAAGTCTGTACAGTGATGTATAATTTACAGTGCCGAACTGAAGCTGATGCTGTAGCAGCGTGCTGAAGATGAGACCTAAAGAATGCATGGGAGCACTGAAGGCTAAAGCTGCTTAGCATGTTTCTTCCCACTATTGCTTGTTTTCCCATTTGCTCTTCAGAACTCAAATGAAACGATGGTAAGGCAGAAACTGGCTGCATAATGACTGCTGCATGACAGCACTGACCGCCAAGGGCAGCACAGATCAGCAATCTGCCTTGATTGGGTGCTTCTGGAATGTAGAGAAAGCAGATTTCAAAATAATAATATTTGAGTGGGAAGAAACCTCTTAGAGGTCTTCTGGTCCAACCCCATTGCTCACAGAAGGGCTCCAGCAGGACCTGGCCAGCCTTGCTGGCTCCCATCACTGTTCTGTCGAGCTTCAGACTGCTGCAGCTACTTTAGATGCATGTACACATTTTCCTGTACTGACAGTGGCTTGGTGAATAACTTGTACTGCAGGTGGGAAACTCCTAGGGTTCCTTCTACACTGACAACTCTCCTGAATAATATCTAAAAGAATATAAAAATGAGAGCAAAAGAGAGCAATTCATGAAACCGGGCCTAACTCCAGAGAAGGCAGGGAAGATGCAGAGAATAACCATGCAGTTTCTCAACTGTTCAGTTGCTCATGAATGAAATAGAATTAAAATCGGAATGAAATTTTGGGAAAGCTGAAGCAGATAAAATGAGGACTAATTACAAAATTTAGCAGATCCAGGCAAAGATGCATTTAGCTGCTATCAGGGAGGTAACACATCATTTAGCAAACAAACTGGCAGACAGCAAAACAGCATCAACAGCAACAGGTACTTATCTATGTAAGGACCTGACTGCCCACAGAAGACCTTGGTGCTCAAAGCCAGAGCTATACGATGAATTGTGCCATACTGTCTAAAGTGAGAACTGAAGCAATGGATTTTTGGTAATTTTTGGTAACTATGACCAAATGTTCTATATTTTAGAGTAAAAAAAGCAAGGCTAGGGCACTGACTATCAAAACTGATAGTGTTCTGTGCCTGATTTGTAATGAAGCCTGTAAGAAAATAGATCTTTTTCATGTAGGCAGACATTGTGCCATCACAGCCAGTGGCCAGAGCCAATTCATGCCTGTATTGTTCTTTGTCTTAGATATGCCTTACTTCCTAAAATGTGAAAAACAGCAGCTACTCCTCTCTTGCTTAGCACGTGAAGCAGATGAAGAACCAATTTTCCTCCCCAGGTAAAAATCGTAATGATGAAACTGCGTCTCCTTCAGCTTTATGTATTCATATGAAACTGTGCACAGTTGTGTATACCTCATTAGTAATGGCCAGACTACCCAGAATGTCTTTACTGTTGCAATTAAAGTCACTTAAAAGCAGATGACTCTCAGTTGTAGAGTGTATTGGAGTTTCTTTGTGTGCTGCTTCACATTTTTTGTTCCAACAACTATCCCCATATGGCCCTCCACAGCCTATCAACTGAAATTCAAAGCCTTTTTGGCAGTAGCATTATAATTGCTATTGAAGTGATTATAGCATGGAAGAAACCTGAGACAACCCAAGGTGAAAGTGCAAATGGACCAGTTGCTCTCGAGGCTGTTACGATTCAGGGGCAAAAATCCAAAGAAAAAAGCTGACAAAAAAGAATGAAAGATTCTCTTGAAATCAATAAACCAAAGTACTGCAGAACCTGCTATTCTCATGCATACTGAGCATATGCTTATCTGCATGTCTGGGGAAATTCATGAATACAGAATATTTAGTGATGGAACCTTTCCCTGGTTGCCATTATGCTGGTGTCAGAGCTGTGTGCGCATTTCAGAGGCCAGCGAGGAAGAACCACGGCTTGGATTGCTGTAAGGTACATAACCTGATTGGGGGACGGCTGATCAAAGGGGCAGCCCAGTTAAAATTACATCGCTGTATCTGGATCAGGAGCAATGCTTTGTACAGACAAGGCTTAAGGCAGGACTATACAAAGAGAGCTGGCTGCTCAGCTATGCGTAACCCTCAGGATTGCCGTCAGTGTGCTGAGCACAACGCAGCCCAGGGGCCGAAAGGCAGCGATGCTCAGAGCACAGCACTGCTGCCAGCCCTGTGGGTGCACCAAGGTGTGCCTTCATCAGCTGCTCTTCAGTGAGTCCCTTCACTCCATCGCTGTGCCTTCAGATCAGTGGCAGCAAAACCCCAGTGCTGAGGTCCTCCTCTTCAAAGGAAAAGCACAAAGACAATAGGCTGGCAGCAAGGAGAAGATGAAGGCAGGAAGGATGAGGGGAGTAAAACCAGCAGCACCTCCCATCCAAAGGAAAAGACAGCTGCTTCTTAAAGCACACAGCCCAACATTTAAGATGGTTGCAGTAACACAACCAGCTTCATAGCTTGCTAGCACCTTGGCTCTAGATAAAACCAGCTAACAGGAGAAACAGAAGTGACTTCACTGCTGCAACATCAGACTTTGAGCAGTTATTACAACAGGTTTCTCTTCCACGTAATGGATTACCAAAAGGAAAGCAGAACTGTCACATTCTTCTACAGCATATGACAGTACTCAGCAGTGGGGCCTTCGCTCCCTTAACTCCCAAGCAGAGATGCATTCTTCACTTTACACGCCTAATTCTCTGAAATATATTTAACACAGCAGCAAGAATTTCTAAGAACCTGTCCGAGCCAGCTTTTTAAAATAAACTTATCACAACAGATAACTCCCTAGGGCCCTCAGTGCTCGGAAACACTCACGTTTTCCCCCCTAAAATAACCATATATTGCTATTATAATATTATATCCAAGAATATTCAATGCTCAAAACCTTCAGCTATGATTATAACAGCAACATATCCAGAAAGAAAACATCTTTCTTTTTTTTTTCCTCATAGCAGAAATCCAGCTAGACTTTTTTCTTTTTTTCTTCTTCTTCTTTTTTTTTTTTTTTTTTTTTTGCAGGGGACAAAGACAGAGGAGGGAGCTATTTTTACGTTGTACTTGAACCATATGCTTTACAATTTGGAACCCCTGCAGCAGTGCAATTAAACATCTTAACACCAAACAAAAATGCTACATGTTGCTAAATTAAAAAAAAAAAGAAAAGATGTAAAACTGGCATTTAAGTAAATATTTGCTTGGAACTGAACCTGCTTGCTTTACTGACAAAGCAAGCACCTTCTTCCCCTTTGTGCACCTGTTAAAACACAAATGGGCAATGACAGTTGGGCAGAGTCTGTCACCAGAGTTATGCTACATTCCCATTACAGCCTCTTGCTGATGGGAACAAGCTGGTGGGAACACAGCTTGCCTTCCAAATCTCAACTGCATAGCACATGGCTAGCATATGTAAGAATAGCTCTTGTTCGTATTGCGGATCTGATAGCAAAACCATTAGTAAGTAAACATGAAAATTGACCTACGTGTTTTAAAAGAAAAACTTGTTTGAAGTTGACATATTATATAAATGATGTCATCCAAGCATGATTTTGCATAGGAGAGGCCCCTTGGCAGGAGATGCAGAGCAGTCTGGGCGCTGTGCTTTCACTGTACTGAGTGTGATTCCTGCCTGACACACGAGGCACAGCACTTCCTTATCTGCACATTTCTGCAAAGATTCTTTGTCCTAAATCAGAGCTGTTAATTACAGAATCACAGAAATGGGAGCTGTGTCAGGGCCAGGATAACTCAGCAATTCTGCCCCATAGCCAAACACAGGATGAATTTAACTAACCCAGTCCTGACAGAGGTTAACCTCACTTGTTCCCAAAAGCTTGCAATTACAGCAGCTATGCAGCTCTCAAAACAACATCAAGGATTTTGCTGCTGTATTCTAAATAAATTCTAGAGCCTAAACTTAACTTTGTCTTGTAATTTTAACTATAACTTCTTGTGCCTTGCTTGCATTTAAACAGGAATATTTCCCCTTTGTCAGTTCACCTGTCAGGTATTTGCAGACTTCCAGTCCCAACAGGCTGTTCTTCTACCTCTGCCAAAATCGTTGACATAGAAACTGCACTACAGCTGTTCAAAATGTGCCCAGTCCTGGCTTTGAAAATAACTTCTCAGTTGTAGCCCAAATTAATTCCGCAAAACCATTTGTCTTCATACATTGGAAGAGCAAAGCCTGAATATAAAACAGGGGGTCTTGATCTGCTCCTTGCTCCAACTTACACCTGCAGCTGATGTTGTTATCATTATCCCTTTGGGCTGCAGCAGGTAGATACGTTTTTAGCACTGTGCATTTGCAGACCATGCAGAGGGGTCATACAGGCATGCTAGGCAATCCCTTACTCCCTTTTGTCTCCCTACTGGATGTGCAGGGCGGCTCAGGTCTTCTAATGCGTAGAACATCTCATCAATCACACTCCCTTTCCATGCTGCTGCTTACCCTGCTCCGTACCAAGAGCAGGGGGATGCTTTTTCTTTCTCGGCCACGAATCCGAGTTCCCCTCAGCAATCAGCACCTGGCAGTGAGCCAGCCTGTGCCGCAGGGCCACCCAGAGGCTTTGCTCCCCTACTGCTGGATCTGATGCCAAGAACAAAACTGCAGGAAAAAGCACGGTCACAGTCAGCAAGCCGGTGTCTCCACAGCCACGCCAGGGAGCTGCTGTCTTTCCTTGTGTTCACACAGGGGGCAGTTGTGTCACAGCAATTCGAAATATGTATGTATAAATTCA